GAAGAACAAGTAATGAAAAATCATTATTCAAGGTAAAAACTGGTTTATTTCTGTCTTAATTAGAGACAAAAAATTCAATCAAGCTTCCAGGAAAAGAAAGACAATGAGTACAACAGTAAAGCAGAATATATTTCTGTATTAAAATTAAGGCACCATATGCAATTTTTGTGCTTCATTGCCCAACACATGCTGATGGAGAGAAAAATAGCTAGAGAAAGGCATTAACTGGGTAATAGGTTCTGGAGATACTGGCCTGGTGACCGACTGACTACTAGATCAATCAATTCAGCACAATAAAAGCATTGTGTTCTAAAATAAAGCAAAGCAATAAATATGGGCAAACTAAAATATAATTTATGATTTTAGTCACAAATTTCTGTCTGAATATACCATAGATACTTGAGACTATATATGCCAAACAGAACTCATTACCTCCTTAAAAGTAAACAAACAAAACAATCATTTCTATTGTACTACTTCCTCTCAAAAGAGTTGCTGTTCACAGAGAATTTTAGCATGAGAACTTTGGAGTCATAGTCAAATTTTCACTCGGGCTTATTCCTTACATTCAATTGTTATGTTATGTTATATGTTATGTTACATTGTGTGATGATGTCTGGATCTTTTATCTTATCCTATTTTAGTCTACTCTATTTTTTTTTTTTTTCCTCACCCGAGGACATTTTTCCATTTTTTTGTACAGATAGAGTGGGAGGGAGAGAGAGGAAGAGAGAGAGAGGGAAACATCGATGTGAAAGGGACACATCGAGTGGCTGCCACCCGCACGACCAACCAGGGCCGGGGACAAACTGCAACCGAAGTACATGCCCTTAAGCGGGAACCGAACCCGGGTCTCTCCAGACCGCAGGCGGACGCTCTAACTGCTGAGCCAAACCGGCCAGGGCATAGTCTACTCTATTTTAAATGAAAGATTTAAAATGTCATCTCTTCTTTCTCATTTTCATGGCTCTATTTCTAATGTGTCTTAAAATTTAACTACAAATTATAACATGGCTTAAAACTATCTTCATGTCCAGCCTCCCCTAGTCTCTGCTTCCTGAAGTGCCTCTTAACAAAAACTCATTGTTTTATTCTTTTGTTCAAAATGAGTAAATGTTTCCACTTTACTTTAAAAAAATATATATCATTTGTAGGGCTTTCAAGTCTTTTGAGAAGACAACAAGCTACCTGTCTGGACTCAACTATTTTAATAAACTCATTCAAACCTTTAAAAAATCATACACTGAAGCCATGATGTATCATTTTCTACCTAAATGCCCATTTCTGCCATACCTCATTTTTTTTTGCTCATGTATTTTGTCTGCCTAATTTGTTATGTTATTCTTTAAGGATATCCAATGTCTTTAATGCAGAATGGACTTCCGTGCCAGATATTGCTCATACCTCCCCAAATTCATGCTTGCTTTCAGAGTTTTGTTGGACATATGGCTTTCCTGCTTGAATCGACCTTTCAAAGATTCCCTTGATACACTGAATGTGACTAAGTCCTGGCTAACAGAATGTGAACAGAAAAAACGTACACAATTTCAGTGCCATGTTTTTATAAGAGAACTCCTTACTCTGGTTTCCTCTCCTCCCTTCCAGCAGTGATAAATGTAGACGCAATGGCAGTAAGCCAGGTTTAACTGTGCGAAATAACTCACCACTTTAGGCGATGGCAGAACAAGGTAGATGGAATCTGGCTCCTGTTGTTACTGTTAGCATGGGTGGCTTGCGATAGGAAGGAAGCAAAGGAAATCCGACATTGTTGAGCCTAATGGCCTGGGGAGCATGAGCTGTTTGCTTGCCCTGCCAAAGATTAATTCCCCTTCCTTTCCCCTCTAGCCCGGATTGCGGGGATGGGAGCAGGGAGAGGTAGGCGCATGCACAATTGAAGTCAAAATGACACAGGCATGGTGCTTGACCGTAGAGGCCTGTCAGACTAAGCAGGGAAAGGGATCCTTGAGTAGGGGGTGAGCTTACCAGAAGCCCGGGAAAGCTTGGCAAACTGATTGGTTATTTTTAAAAGCTCCTGGTCATAACGGTGGGGGGAGAAAGAACAGCTCTCTCTCGCCCACCCAGTAACCACTGCCTGTCCTCTCTCTCCACCAGGAACATGTGACCACGCGGATTTACCAGTTGATGGGGCGAAGGTAGACGCAGCGGGCCCCAAAGGACTAAGCTTCAATATGAAACAGAAACTGATCTTCGTTTTAGCCTTGATGAAGACAAGATTGGACTTTGTCTATGGTAGGATGGAGGGAGATAGGACATTGGAAACTCAGGGACAGCTTTCCTGAATAAATCTGGCCACATCACAGTCTCTTCTGTGTAGGTCCTTGGAATGCTCTTCTAGAAATCTTGTGGAAGAATAGTTTCCACAGGCAACATTACTGATTGTATTGACCTGAGTTCAGCTCTGGACAATTTGGTAATCTTTACAGTTACGTGAGGGAAAAAAATCTACCTTATTAAGGACACTTTATTTTGAGTTTTCGGTTATATCAGATGAATGTTTTCCAGAGTATATATTTTTTTCTGCATTCAAGATCTGTAATTCTTTCAGCAGTAAAGATAAATTCTTTAACATTTTTTTTCTTTATTGATTTGAGAGAGAGAGGAAAGGAGAGGGAGAGAGAGAAACATCGATGAGAGAGAATATCGATTAGCTGCCTCCTGCATGCCCCCCACTAGGGATTTGGCCCACACCCTGAGCATGTGACTTGACCAGGAATTGAACTGGTGACCTCTTGGTGCATGGGTCAACACTCAACCACTGAGCCACATTGGCTGGGCAAGATACATTTTTAAAAAATGCAGTGGTAAATTTTAAAGACTTGAAGCAGAAAAACCTTGCCTTCTTTACTGATTTTTTTTTTTTTTATGGTGGTTCTAGGTCTTAGTGTGAAAAATTATTTTAGCAATTATCTATTGCTGCAGAACAAGTTATCCAAAAATTAGAATATTATAACACATTATATTTGTGAGATAGGAATATGCATGTGGTTTACCTGAGTTATCAGACTCAGAAACTTTAAAAAAACTGCAATCAAAGTGTGATCCAGGATGTAGTCATATCGTTATTTGATGTGATACCATCCAGAATCCTCTCATTATTTCATGTTGATAGGATCCAAGAGCCATCTAAGCTCATTTGACTGTGGGCAGCATCCAACTGCTTCCAGTCTCTTGGACTGGGGGCTTCAGTCCCTTGCTGGCTTGTTGGCAAAGGCTGTCCTCAATTCCTTGTAATGTGGGCTTCTCCTTAAGTCAGCTTACAACATGGCAGCTAGCTTAATCAATCTGAGCAAGTAGGAATGAACAAGAGAGAGAAAGCAAACAAGAAAGAGGTCACAGTGATTTATAACCTAATCTTGGGAGGACATTCCATCCCGTTGGAGCAGCAATTTTCAACCTTTTTCATCTCCTGGAACACATACACTAATTACTAAAATTTTGCAGCACACCAAAAAATGTATTATATTTTTTTGCCGATCCAACAAAAAATAAGAATAATTTTTATTTATTCACACCAGACATCTATTGTTGTGTTGGCTGTTATCTTTTTTTTTTTTTTTAAATCTAAGGAAAAAGAGGTCAGTGTTCCTGAAAATTACTTTATTTACTCTAGTTTCTTTATGCACAAACTTCTGGAAAAAGCAGCCCTAATCATCTATGCCCATGTTCTCAACTTTGACTTACTCTTGAATCTCCTCCAGTCTAGTTCTCATTCATATCACACCACTGAAAATTATCTTCCAGATTACCACCATCTTTGTTTTCTTAATTTTCCAAGAGTGCAGTATTTGGACCTGATCTCTCCTTGCTCTCTCATCAGGCCTGAATTCTGTTAACCACTGGTTTCTTTTGAACTACTCTTCCCCACACCTTCTTGTTTTCCTTCTTAATTTGTCTTCATGTGCCATGTACATCTTCATCTTCCTCTGCCCTGACCTAGGTTATTGAACTTATTGTTTCTCTTGTATTTCACTGGTGAAAGCAAAGTGAATAGCCACACCTAACTTCAAAGGAGCGGGAGAAGGATGGGCTTATAACATGAAGTATCTACAACACTACTCTGTTAATAATGCACCTGTTTTAATAGACTATCATGTCTAATTGTAATAGGCAAGTGTTCTTAAGAATCTTCAACTTTCTGTCTACTTATCAACCTGATCTCACCTGTAGACTGAGTCTAAAAGAACAGAATTGCTTACTAGACTATTGAATGCCAATATGACTGATTCTTTTCATGTCCCACTTACCAAATACCTGAAAAACTCACTACCAATAAATGAGCTTTCCATGCCAAGTATAGCCCCCAAATTCTTATTACAAATTTTGATGCAAAATCTTGTTGCTGTATAGAAAAAGTTTGGTGTGAATTCCTCTTTTATGGATGAGCCTACAGGTAAACCATCAGGATAGCAGATTCTTTCTGACTTTGTTACAAGCACATTATTTCATTCTCTCAGACTCAAAATTTCCAAAACTAGGTATTTTCTCTAAGGACACATTTCAAAGAGAAATATGTATAAATATATATACAAACATATTCATTGTGGTGTGGTGGTGTATAGACAAAATGTGAAACCAAACTTAATGCTCAGAAGCTGAAGTATGGCTACATAAATATCTACATACCAAATTAATGGTATATTTTTAAAAATATGTTTTTATTGATTTTTGGAGAGAGAGAGAGGAAGGGAGAGAGAGATAGAAACATCAAAGTGAAAGAGAAACATTAATCGGCTGCCTCCTGCACGCCCCCTACTGGGGATCGAGTCAGCAACCTGGGCGTGTGCCCTGACTGGGAATCAAACTGGGACCTCTCAGTTCTTGGGACACACTCAATCCACTGAGCGACATGGCCCGGCTAATGGAATATTTTTAGCTGTCAAGTGATCATTGTAAATACAGGGTGGAACAAAACAGGATTTACAGTTGTGAGTACACAAAACACAGTTTATTCTTTTCTTTACTGGTTTTTTTTTTTTTTTTTTCATGTGGAACGCTTCACAGATTTTCATAACATCCTTGTACAGGAGCCGTGCTAATCTCTGCACTGTTCCAATCAAAGCATATGGGCTGCCGGAGTGCGCACCAGAGTTTATTCTTGTATTATTAGTATTAATTATTGTATTATTTTCCATATGAATAACTGTAACCTACTTTGGCCCCTACCTGTATTTACATGAACATAGATAATTATTTTGAATATATTAAGCAAAAGAGGTGAATGAAATATTGCATTCCCTGGATTAAAGTAGGAAGCTGTGTAGAAATTGACCCTAATGTGAGTACTGTTAATACCTTAGAGTTCTGTGTATTTTTATACATTAAATAACCATTGTAATTGTTGTTTTGTAGAGCAAGAGTAAAAATAGAAATAAAATAAATATTGGATATTAGGAAGATTATTATTGAAGAAAAGCTAAAGTTCTGTGACTATGTCTGTTTATGATTAAGACCTCAAACAGGGCATAAATGATCAGGGAATTATTTATTGAAAAAAACTACACAACAGTGAAGGTAAAACGATGAAATTTTGCAGTCAGGAAAAAGTAGAGGTTATGCTATTAGTATTTTCTGTTTGAAGTCGTCCGATGTGGAGCTACAGAAAGCAAAATGAGATCATAAGCAATACCATTATCAAATGTCCTGCTTAGGCCTGATTATCGATTTTATGCTGGTGGTTAATTAGAAATAAACAGAGCAAGAACATGAGCCCATAGCAAGAAAAAAAAACAAAAACATATTCTGTGGAATATGTAGCAATATTATCCCTGTAGAAGGGGCCTGCATAATTTAGTGTTTAACAAGATAATGCAACTATTTCCTAATTAGAGTTGACAGTGTTAAATAAGTAATTGGAAAGACACTGAGAAAATAGTAATGTATCCTAAACGTAACAATTGCATAAAACACCTGCCAGGTTTAGGGCAGATGGGTCAAAGAAAGTGGTTTGGATCATTAAATGTACAAGCGTGGAGAAAGGGTCTTGCAAGGACAGAAGGATGGAAACAGAGCTCTGAGGAGGTGGGTCCTGGCCAGCAGCTGCAGGTGCCTCTGAGCTGGAAGAGAACCAGACTCAGAAGATGAGGGGCCAGCCCAAGGTGCCTGTGTGTTCAAAGAGAAACAATGATGCTGTGTCTGTGCCTTTCAGTCAAAAGCTGCAAACTATGTCCAACTGCTGCTATTGAAAGGAACTGCTGCGTGGTGAAGAAGCTAGGTTGCCAAGGAAAAAGAGGCAAACAGAAAATGAGGCCTTCCTCCCACCTCCCACTTCTCAGTCTCCCTCAAGTGTCCATTAGTGTCAGAGCCTGAAAGAGAGCAAGGTGGCAGAACAAAAATGTGGTGTGCAGAGTCCCACCCCAACATGGTGACATCAAATTACTGAGAGACAGAAACGTATTAACTGGTACCACAGGAGTTAGCAAAAGTCAGTGACCAAAGTATGTGTGCACTGAGTGGTTAATGGATTCATTTGTGTGTTCAGGTGCCATGAACATTAATACACATTGATTAAATAAAAAGTGAATTGCTCATCTCCTCATATATAATTGAATGTAATATATGGTCCCCAGACTCCACATAATTATTTAGTGATGAGTTTGTCCTAGGTGCTAAATTATCATCTGGTTTAACATTAGTTAACCTGTCATTATTACTAATAGAATCACATTTTACTTGCAAAAGTGTTCCAATTTGGATGATAAATTTTATGATTACTGAAGACATACCTTAAACATAAATAGACATGTCCAATAGACATTAATCTGAGTTTTACTGGCAACATGTATACGAAATACTAGTGATAAAATGGATGGGATGCATAGCTATATTGGTATAGATAGTACAAAAGATCTGAAAGGAAATATTCTTAAAGGAGGAAATGTTTGGGTTGAACGTTAGAAGGTTAGTGGAAGTTCACCATTGACTTGAGGCAAATTCAGGTAGCAGAGACCACAAAGGACACGTAGGAGATGCATGAAATTTTAGCCAAGACATGGAATGAATTAGAAAGTTCATGTAAAGACATACGCAACCAATCAAAAGAATTTATTGCTGACTGAATCTGCCCAAACATTTCAATAAAGATTCTACAATGTTAATGATGCTAAGAGCATTGCAGATATTATCCCATTTAAAATTGAGAGAAATAAGCCAGCTGGTATAGCTCAGTGGACTGAGTGTCACCCCATGAATTCAGAGGTCCCGGTTCGATTCCCAGTCAGGCCAAATGCCCTGTGGGCTTGATCCCCAGTAGGGGCGTGCAGGAGGTGGCTGATTCATGTTTCTCTATCACATTGATGTTTCTATCTCTCTCTCCTTTCTAAAAAATCAATGAAAATATATTTTTAAAAATAAAAAATGAGGGATATTTTTAGTTTTTTACTATTACAAATGAAGCATCTATAAACACTTGTGTACAGATTTTTGCTTAAACAAAGATATTCATTTCACTTGGAAAAAATTCTCTTGGTTTGAAAAGCTACCCTTTTCTGAAACACCAATCAGAAAGAATATATGTACCCCCATGTTTGTAGCAGCACTATTTACAATAGCTAAGATCTGTAAACAGCCCAAGTGTCCATCAGTAGACAAATGGATAAAAAAGCTGTGGTATATATACACAATGGAGTACTATGCAGCTGTAAGAAAGAAAGATCTCTTATCCTTTGAGACTACATAGAGGGACCTGGAAAGTATCATCCTAAGTGAAACAAGCCAAACAGAGAAAGACAAGTATCATATGATCTCAGTTATTTGTGGAATATAATGAACATAACAGTCTGAGGAATGGGATAGTCCCAGATATGTGGAAGTGGGATACAGACTGACAATCCCCAGAAGAAGGGGTGGTGGGGGAGAGATAAACCACAGAACTTATATGCATGTATGCATGAACAGTGGACATGGACAACAAGCTGGGGACAGGGCAGAGAGGGAGGTGGAGGGGGGAATCAGTGGGGGAACAAGGAGAAACATCTGTAACCAAAAAATAATTAATAAAAAAGACAAAAAAAAAAAAAAAAAAAAGAAAGAAAAGCTACCCTTTTCAATAGAGTTTTTAGCTGTCTGCTTATATATCCTATCCTATTATTCATTTCAGCACTTGATTCACTGCCATATCTTGTATATGCACTTGGCAGGGTATGCAATGGACCATTGGGCATGTATGTATGAGTGTGTGTGTGTGTGTGTGTGTGTGTGTGTGTATTCCTCATGGAGAAAATTTTGGCCAAAGTGATTAAAGTTATTTTAAAAAAGAAAGAGATAGAACTTACAAAACACACTTGAAAATCTTTCCAAGTCTAAACAGCTAATCAGGAATTAGCTGTTGAATAAAATATGTGCATAAAATACTCTAGACTTTTCTTCTAGTGGATATGAGATACTACCTATCTTCCCTTGTTTAGGAAGGAGTTTACTTTTTTTACACCAGTATAAATAAGTACAATGAGTTTTTTAGACACATTGGAGATACCCATCTGGGTATGTTTTCAGGGAGATACACCCTTGGGAACTGAACAATTCTGCACATCACTGAGCTGTAACATCTAATTATTACTGGTGGGGAAATCCATAATGAATGGGTCAGCTTTTAGATAATGCTTCTTTATATATTTCTTCTGGAAAGATATCTGGTTGTCATTTATTTAGCTGCCAATGGATGCCTCTATTCATGAGGTGTTTGAAAATATTATTCCTCTGGAGGGCAGGGATTAGTATAGAAATTTGAAAATACAATACCTAAAGAAATGGGTTAGAGAGCTTTAGTTATTGATTTTTTGTAGGAAGTAACACATGTGGTAAGCTGAGTCCTGTGTAACAATCTTGTGGACACCAAAAAAGAAGACATATATAATTACTAACACTAATTTCAATATCCTCAATAATACTTAAAAGAATGAAAAGCTCTCATCTGATTTCTGAACATTTCTCCTGTTCATCTGATATTTGATTCCAGTATTATTATTTTTAAGGTCTTCTTTTATATAATTGGTTGAAAGTGGTATTTTAAGCTTTTGAGACAAAAGTGTGCATGATATCATTAGTTATATATCTGTCAGTCACGTAGGACCACAAAAATAACCATTTTTCAGAAGTATGAGAGAGTCATTTTAAAATTTTGTCTGCTAATGTTTACTAAAAGTAAATAAAATCCTTTGCTGGATAAATTAAACAAATACAATGATGAATTATTATTATATCTCTGTTTCCTCAGTTGTGTTTTTATATTATAACTTAGTAGGAAAATCTCCTGAAATAGGTAAAGTTTTTCCATGTTAACATTATTGTTAATTAGACAGAGAGAGGCTGAGTATTTTATAGAGTAAAACATATACTTTCTTTATCAGACATAGGAATGCAAAAAATAAAAAAGGAGATGGATTTATAGTCAAAAATATTTAAAATTAGATACAAAGTCCTAACTGTACTTTACATTGGATGTCCCAATACCCAACCTAGTACAAATTTCCCCTCTTCTTCTCTAGGATGCATTTTTCTTTCTACCTTCTGTGATCATTTACTCCCAAGCACCTACAAATCTTGTCTGTGTCATAAATTAGGGAATTATTTATATTTTTTAGATTGTTATCAACTCTTACATATTATTTCAGTACTTTTATTTTTAATTTAATTTGTGTTGGTTTACTGAAGATCCTTTGTGTTAGGTAGTACATAATGTGTTTCAAATCAGAGTCAATTTGTCATATTGTTTTGCCCATGAGCATATAAATGGGCTGAGTTGTACAGGTCTGGTATTTAATGGTTGTAAATTAAAGTCAAGTGTGGCCTGAAAGCAATGTCAGTGGTATGTGCAATATCATATAAATCAGTATCATAATAGTCACACTGATATACAAATATATATGTTTTTACCCTCTCTGTTGTCATTAGAAATTTGGGAAAGCTACTTGTATATATTTGTGTGATTATTATATCCAGAATATTTCATTCCTCCAAGAAAAAGTATGATATATAAATATAATTCAAACATTTTTAAAAGGAAGAATCCTGAAATAATAGATTTAGACCTTATCTAGCAATGCATATGTCTCTACATCTGAGGATATATTACCCACTATCTTTG